TTTAATTTACAGGCTTGTTTTGAGATAGGAGGTATTTCCTATAGAAAGATCCAAAATCCTAAAAGTTTGATAAAATGTGCCTCTTAGTTTTTATGTAAAACCAAATGATTATACAATACAGTAAGACTTTAAAAAACAGAAATAGAACATTTTTTTAATAATACTATGGAAAACAAATTTTTCTATAGAAAAGATAGAAAAGATAGAAAAGTAGCTATTAGGGCTTGTTTTATGACTTTTGTGTTTCTTTTTTTTTTTTTTAGAAAAGTCTTTCTATTTTATGAAAGAGACAATTATTTATAATACCTTTGCAGAATTTAAAATGATAGTTGAAAGAAGAATTTAAAATTATCGAAGTACAAAAATACATCGATTTTAAATAGGAATTTATTATAAACTCAATTATTTTATAGCTTAATACAACAATTATAATTAAAATCTATCAAATAGTAAATCATATAAAGACCATACATAGTTTTGATTCAATTAGTCCATTGACTACCCCAACGAAACTAGTTTCGAAAGTTTCGCCAGAAATTAGGTTTCGATTTCGGCCACAACGTTACAAGGATCGCAGAGTTTAGATTTAAGGATATATTATTCAGTTAGATTATCATAAAACCTGTGTATTTAAAACCGCTTAGATTATTAAAAGGTTCAATTATAAAGAATTACAAGTTATCTAATATTAGTGATGATACCAATTCTAATATATAGAACATGCTTAATTTGGTAACTATATCATTGTTAGTTCCCGTAAGATAATCCGTGAATATTCACGTGAAAAAAATATAGCATTTTTAATTCGAGCAAGTCAAAAAGGCTTTGACTTGTCAACCAAATAGCGATAATCCAACTCTATAAAAATTTATTTAGCATGAAAAGGTAAATTGCGCTGAACTCATATTGCTAATAGAATCAAGTAATTAAATAATTAGAAGTTGACGTCATGGATCGTTCGTTATTGTCCTTTTGCATATAATTGAAAAGGTTTTAGGAAATTTCCATAAACTATAGTTGAAACGCTGAATACAAAGCCATTTTGATTGTGTAAAATACAATAAACGTATTTCGGTTGTTAATAAGGTTATCGGAATCTTCTTTTTCTTAAGGGGATAAGGGATAATTTTGAAATCCTAAGGGTTTGTTTGATTGGCGAGCTGGATTATCACAAAAATTTGTGGCAAATTTTAAGTGGCTCAGCCTCGTGAAATCCAAACATTCAGGCCAAGAATAAAAAGATTCCGAATAAATAGAAACAAACATTGTTTATAAATATTGAACACAAACGTTTCAAACTATTTATAAAGAGAAATCTACTTAGAAAATAAAGATTTTTAAAGTATTAAAAATATTTTAAAATGTTTTATTTGATCAATTGGGAATGGTGTAACAACCTTCGAGTGAAACCTTAACCCTTACATATATAAAATATACGTCACCAACCATCCATTCATAATGTTCAGATAACCATTTTTTGAATTTTTTAGTTCATGTGTTTCCAATTACAATTGAAGTACTTCGGAACAATAGTTAAATTGATCTGAGATTGTTTGTAATAATAATTTGTTTGACCGATTCTTTAACCATATACAACAATAGAGATAGTCTCATTCAAAGTAATTATAAAAACCATAGGTTTTTGCTATTCATGTTTAAAATGCTCTAATTCCACAATTGATCCTTGTAAACCTATAAATAACCAAAGAAAAAGAAATCTTTCCCTTTGCAATTTTTTTTTAATTTTTTTTTTAAAAAAAAAATTGTCCATTTCTAAAAAAAAAAAGCAGAAATTTTTATATTCGTTTAATTTTAATATTTGTAGTTTCAATAAATTTATTTAAGATGGCAATGGCAAAGGATGTTAACGTCCCAACAATAAATATAACATTATCATCACAACGAAAATCGGATGCTTTATTAGAACAAGATGCCGATTTTAATCCACCAGAATATACATCTTCCAATACAAATCAAGAAGAGCGAAAGGAATTCTACACAAATTCAACGATTACAACGACGAACGAAGATAATAATTCATCATTGACTTATCCATCACGAGCTCATATACCTCCATCATCCACACCAACAGATTTGCCAACATACGATCATGCGACAATTGACATGCCACCATGTTATCAAACTCCAAAAACACCAACTCTTGAAGTTTATCATATTCCTTATGATCAAGAACCTTGGCCAATAACTAAAAAGCTATATTTCCTTGGATTCATATTTTGGCCTCTTTGGTTTATTGGAATGGGATTCAGTATGTTTGGTCGTCATAAAAGTACAAAGTTGTGGGGACGTCGTTGTGCTTGGAATTCTCTTGTAATAATTGTCTTATTCATTTATCTTGTTGTTGCTTACACAAGAACTGGCGGTCGTTTAAGATAATTTCCTATAAAATGAAAACGGACATTTGATTATTTTTTTTTTTTTATAAAAAAAATATATTTGTGAATATTATTTCCTTTGTAATTTCCTATTGTATTTTTATTGACAAAAAATTTAGGCATATTTTTTTTTTAACTTGTAATCTACAAATGAACCAACAATTAATGCACTTTCGTAAATCATTTATTTTTAATTTTGGTCTTTTTTTTTAACTATATAATTTTCTTTAAAAAAAAAATTAATTTATTATTTCTTTTTCTTTATTTTTATTTATAAAAAAATCCATTTGTACATAATTTTTTTTTATCATAATCACACATTTACGCAATTTGTTTTTTTAGCTTAATATTTATCAATTTTTTTTTTATTATCCTTTGATAGGAAATAATACAATTTTTTTTTCTCCTCTTCTTAATTTATCTTTTTTTAAATACTGAAAAAAAAATATTTTATGAAGATAATTTTAAATATCCAAGAAACTTTTCATTTCTCCATAATTCATAGTTTCGTTTACAATCAATTGTGTGGATCAATGTTAGAGCTGAATCATAAATTAAGGGTTAATGAGAAGTTTCTTTTCTTCTATTCTATTTATTAAAGAAATGATTATGAATTTTGACAATTATAATCTTTATTTTTTTTTAAAAAAAAAAAACTTTCTTTTAGTATAGTTCCTTTTTTTAGTATTTTCTTTAAGATTGGAATAAAAGGAAAAAATAAATAATGGTTTTTACTCGTGATTTATTTCCAAATTTTTTTATTTATCGTTTTATTTTAAGAAAATGGGTTTTATTAATTTTTCCAACAGCACCCCTCGAGTTTCTATAATTATTTCTTTTTCTTCTCCATAAACGACATTTTCAATAAATTGAAATGCGCTTTATTTCCCAACAATTATTTGTTAACCAAACTTAGTAGTGTTCGCTGACAATGAGACTTTTTTGGTGAATAATGAATAATAAAATCGTTTCTGACATCGAATTGATAAAGATTGTCCGTTAGGCGTCGGTAAAGTATTTTTGCTTATTCACTTTTGTTTCACATTCGGATACCTTTATTCAATGTAATGCATTATCAAACAAAGGATAAGGATAAGTATCAAATACAAGGTTTTTTTTTTTGCCATAACACCTGAAGTGGCGCGAAAAATATTTCTGTGACCAGGATTTGGTTAATGGCTTGTTCTGTGGCTTTACGTTTGGATTAACTTTGGGAATGTTCAATCAAGTTTTGTTCGAATAAAATTATATTTTTTTTTTTAAAAAAAAAAAATAATCTAATTTCAGTAGCATTTAAGCTCTATAATTTATCCGTTATACGCGTTTCATTCACATATGGATTAATGGGGATAAAAGTATAATTATATTAATATATATATATATATCCCTTTTTTGTGTTCAGTATGTATGAATTGTGTTGCAATTAAAGCAAGTCGTTCCTTTAAAACTTCAAATAAATGCACGTCTTTATTGTACAAATTAAGAGAATGAATAAAAAAAAAACTTTTTTTTTATGCCCTTTAAAACAAAAAAAAAGGTGGGGGGGGGGGGTTGGAATATTGATTCAAATTTTTGCGAATTTTTGCGAATTTTTGAAACAATAACCCGAGAGTAACAAGGTACCACCACACAGTTAATAAGTGTGCCTTTTTTTAACTCGTAAAGCTAAAAAAAAATAATAATAGAATCACGGTCATATTATTCATCCTTTCTTGTTTGCGTTAATATTTGTACGACCGATCGGTTTGACAAATCTATTCATAAAGCTGAAGGTTGGAACCCTTCGAACTTTCTTCGTTAACCCTTTTTTTTCACTTTATCAGAACAATTTTCTAGAACAATTTTCAAGGATAATGATTGTCACATGTTTGTATAAATTCGTCGGTATGATTATAAATTTAATAATTTGGCAGATTTCAATGTACCGTAAAAGCTGTTCGGATCTATTAAATTATATCATACATCAGCTGCATTATTTACGGAAATGTTAAACGTTTCAATGAAAAAAAAAAAAAAAATTGAATAGTTAGTTATATCAAGATAAACTTTAAATTTGAAATTGTGGACAAAATAATTATTATTGTACAACTTTCAATGTGTTTTAGTTTATATTTTACAAAATTACATTTTACATTATCCCCAAAAAGGAGAACCCAACTCGATAAAATCGAATCGAAAATTGAAGATTTAAAGTTAAAAGAAAAAGAGAATTCAAGGTCTTTAATAAAAAAAAAATTTAAATGAAAGAAAAGCTTAAAATTTCTATTGGATTTAGAAGGGAAAAAAAAAACTTATAGCACAATTTGTGCCCAAGATGTGACATGAAGGGATGATGCAAAATAAAATAAAAAATAAAAATAAAGTGGAAAGCAAAAAATAAAAAATTATTGGCGAAATAAAAAACTAGATGAAAGCCACTCGTTGTTGCCTTTTCTATATTTTATTTCCCTTGACGCAATTCTAAAAGTTCTAAAATATTTCCTTTATATAATAATATGGAAGGAATTTTGCAACCATATCGAAATTATTTTTTTTTTGTTTATGTTTTTTTTTAGTTCTAAAAAAAAGTGAGATTATCAATTAAAATAAATAAATAATAAAAACTTAAAGAGGAACCTCTTGTAAAGAAGAAACCTCTGATGATTCCTTCAAAGGTAGGATTAAAAAGTTCGGATTAAAAGTTTCGTATTGTTTAATATCAGGTAAGGTTAATGTGGAAGCATTAACCTGAATTGGGGGAATGGTTAAACCATTCTTATCATGATTTTGCTGTATCGGAGGAGATTCATCATCATCAAAACTTTGAGTACATTGAGGTAAAACGATCTTAAGAGACATTCGTTTATCAGCGGGCAAACCGCTTTGTAATAACAATTCAGGTACCCCACCTTTTTCTAATTCATCGGAGAAATCATTATTATAATTTTGTACATTAAGAACGGGTGGTGATAATACCAAAGATTTTCTATTATCTTTATTATTATTAAATGAATTTGATGAACTACTTCCAATCCATTGAACTTTTTCCTTAATTTCTTTTGATAATTGCCAATTTATAAATGTTGTTAACATATATGTACCAAATATGAACCATCCAAAAATTAAACTTGTAACCCATATACCACAAACGAATCGCATCGGTTGTCCTCCTCTTAAAGAAGGTGATCTACAATTCAATTCATTTGTTCCCCTGTAAATTGGATCAAGGTTCGACAAATCTAAAAAGCCGAATTTTAATCATTGATTAAATGAGATTATTGGTCTTTAATTATGCACAAATGAACAAATTCGATAATTACCAGATGATAACCATAACGCGGAAAAGAGACTTTTTTTTTATAAAAAAAAAAAATAAAAAATAAAAAATTAGAGTCGGAAAAAAAAATATATATTTTTACATTTTTAAAAAATTTAATTAATACAAACATTTCAACCCAAAGACAAGAACCCTTGTTCCAGAATTTCTTAAAAAATATCAAGTAATAAACTAAAAAAAAAAAATTTTAATTAATATATTCAAATTTTCTTGTTTTCCTTTTCCTTAACATACCAAGACTTGGAATCGTCAAACTGCATACAACGAGCAACCAAATTTTGGGTTTGCCGCTGGAACTTTAAAGAAAAAATAATTTGATTAATTTTCTTTATTTTTTTTTTTTTTTTTACAAACAAGTCCAAATGCATTTTATCTATACATACTCTCCTTCTTCCTGTGCATCGTCAAACCAATCATTGTGTTGACCGGGCAAGATGTAATTTTTACCATAAGAAACGTATTGCGTTATCTCTTTACAAGAGTAAAAATATTGAAATTAGATGAATTGTAAAAAAAAAAAGAACCCCAAAATCAAAATATGTTTATAAACGTACCGAAAGCCACCACAAGAATTGTCAATAACAGCTGAATACATTTTAGGCCTAAAAAGCACTTTGCGTTTTCTCGAAATATAATCATGGTCGTTAAATATTACAAGAGTTCACTTATTTATAAATATATAAAAGTGATATTCTTAAATATATAAATGTATCCCAAAAGAGCAGGGAAGAAGGGATAAAGAAGCATTATGAAAAATGCAATGAATGTATTTATATACTTTTTTAACCACCGAGATTAATAAATAATAAGGCGTTTTGAAAATCTATGCATTAAATCGCAAAGCAAGGTCAAAATTATTAAATTTGGAATGTTGTAAACTACTTTTTTGTCGAAAGTCATATATATGAAAAATGTCCGAAATCACCTTCTAAGTGCCACCACCAATTAAAGCTCGGAGCTAAATTTAATTTGATTTTCTTGCCACGTACGATCATTACACCACTTACACCACTAAGACGTGTAAGTGTATTATATTTCCCAATTTGAACCTGTAATTTAAAAATAATTATTTTTTTAGGAAAAAAAAAATTAGAAAAAATATATTATATTCAATGTGTAATGATTGTTTTTAACAATCGGTGATGGAAGTGGGAGAAACCAAAAGTAAGATTATACATATATATATTTATTGTAATATAAAAAAAAAAAAGTATGCAAAAATTCCAACTTATTTTTATGCATGTTTGATGACACACACGAATTATATGTCAAATTCCTTTCATCATCGTTACCAAAAAAAAAGATTTGATCCTGTCATCTTTTTCACACACATATATTTATTATATATGTGATACCAATATTGATATGTTCAAATTTGGTAATTTGATTAAATATTTATGCAAATTATAAAGATCGCGGCGTATGGAAAGATTTCCCGTGCACGTTTACCATTTCTTTCGGTAAACAATCCGAAGAATCAACATTTATTCGAATATGCATGTAAATGTTGAAGCGCAGTTAATAAAGTAAAAAAAAAAAAAAAGAATCGCAAAAGATTTTAAAAAAATCAATCTAATTATAATCCTTAGTAATTTTGGTTGGCCATCCATTATTAACTTTTTGGGCATATAATTATTTATCGTGGTAAAATGTTTCCTTGAAATGTCGAAAAATCCCCTCTTTTTTTTAATCCAAAGTTACATATAAATAGTCTATTCTTTTTTTTGCATTGTTCGGAAGAATGCAGACCATCCTTGTTAGGAAAATTTTTAACTTGAAATCAGATATATACACATTAAAAATATGAATTATGTAATAATATGGTATGATTACCGTATTTATGTAATAATGTGGGCCGATTTTTTTTTTTTTTTTTTTTGGTTTCATTTTATTAAAAGATGGCTTTTTTTGCTTAATGAAATAACTATGCTAAAAATAGAATGCAAAATTATAAAGAAATCATCCAATTCTCCTGTTTCCTGCTTCAATTACAAGGGTGAATCAAATTCCCCTCAAGGTGTCAAAAATGTAAACGTCCCCTTAAAAAACAAGTCTAAAAATGTTTTCTACTCCACAAAAATTATTAATTAACAGTTTATAATTCAAAAAAAGTGAAATATATTATAAAAAGTTTTAAAGAAAACCATGAAAAAGAAAAATGCTGTTTTTTTTTCACCAAGAAGAAAAAATAATAATAATACAAAAAAAAATAAGAAAAAAGCACTGCGCCACGTTACTCAATTTCCCATCACCTGGAATTAGCTAATTGTACCAACATTAAAGGTTTAATCCCGGATTCCAACATCACAGGTTGGGATTGTTCGGGATTTTCAAGACCTTTTTTCAGTAAAACAGATTGCCTGAGACTTGTTCTTTTTTTTATTTCGGGCGCAACAGTAGGTTTATGGAAAGAATAGATCCCTTTACGCTTTTCTTGTTTAACACGCCATGACATAAATGCAGATACAATAAAAATTAACATGTTTAACCAACAAAATACCATGCTCGTTGCCCACATATTGCATATTGATGTTAATGAAGTTGATTTTGCGGATGAACAAGTTAATATTGGGTAGCGTTGAAAGGGATCCAAATTTGCAATGGCTTTTAATTTAAAGAAATGGTGAAATTTTTGATTAAAATCGATGATATGAATGCAAACCGTCAACAATATCATAACTTCTACGAAAAAGCCAACTTACCAGAAGTAAACCATAAAACAGCCAACAAACTAAGTAATTAAAAAAAAATATTAATTCCTCATTATAAAAAAAAAAGAGACCCCAAAAAATAAATATAACAATATTTAAAATAAACAATAATTTTTATACTAACAAGTCAAGGAAAAGATAAGGTCCTTTATTCCAGATTTTCTTAAAATGATAAACATACATTCCTAGAGGATTAGAAAACAATTGAAATTAAAAATTGAAAAAAACGATATTAAATAATTAAGCTTCAATGATTATGTATCTCTTACCGAGAGCTGCTAGAGTGAGAGAGAATACAACAAAAACCCATATTTTAACTGATCTATCAAATTAAAAATCAATCATTATTTTTAGGAAAATTTTTCATTAACTCCCTAGGTCCTTAAACTTACTCTCCATTTCTAAACAAATTTGCAGCAACATAATCGGGTGAATCCGGACTTATATTAACAAATACTGCATACTGAACAAGTTCTAAATATCAAAACATAAGGTTTTAATTAGTTGAAGGGTTTTTATCGCTAAAGGTGCATTCTTTTTACTTACCTAATGTGAGAACTATCGTTGTTAGAATAATTTGAATAAATTTAAGACTATGAAATATAACTCGATGTTCTCTAAGTATCCACATTATAATAATATAAAAATTTATCTATCGTAAAAAATTAAAAATAAAAAAAAATCGTAATAGAAAAATCGAATTTTCAAAAAAAAATAATAAAATTGGTTTAAATAATTTAGAATCGTTACGAAAATTTAGGAATTTCGAAAAAAAAATTAATAAAAGTATTCTTTATAACATAAACTAGAATTTTTCAAAGTATAATTTATATATATTATTATAGTCGTTTTTTAATATGTTCTCAAATCTCAAAGTAATTTTTTTTATGAAATTTTTTTTTTTTTTTTTTTTTTTGTATTCGTTTATCGTTTTATCGCTTTATTATTAAACGAATAATAAATTTTAATCGCCAATTATTTGAGAACTAAAAAAAAAAGCGATAAAGAAAAAAAAAAAGATTTTTTTCGTTTAAAATGTCTTTTTATATGAAACTTGTTATAGAATAAGTATTATTTATGTGGTTGGTTCTCTAAATATTTTCAATGACAATCCTTTTTTAATAAAATTTCATGTCCATTTAAGGTCATTATAATTTATTTATGCATATGTTTGATGATAAAAAAATTACACAAATTACCATTTATAACCGAAGCGGAGTAATTACAAAGCAAAAATTGACCTAAGCTTTTTTTTTTTATATTGTTTTTAATATTGGAAACAAAGACGGAATCCTCGTGTTATTTTTGGACAAACATAACAAACATTAAACCAATAATAAAAATGATTTACGTTTGGATTGTTTGTAAATTTGTCACACAAAAACCCTTTTAGGTTAGAATAATGAAATGAACGAATGAATTTAATAAAACATCTAAAAATAATTTTTCGTCATTGATTCATAATGCAGATCTAAATTTCTATAAATCTATAAATAATTTTCAAGTGCCTACCATTTTTGGTTTTCGGTCTGATAAAGACGCGAATTTCCTTAAATATATCATATTCAAGTACACTAATCCTATTAAAAGAGGATATTGAATCATTTGTATGGAAAACGGCACGATTCTTAAGGTCGCATGGTTCAGTTTTACAGAACCTTATCAGAATTCGCAATGGATTAATTGCGGAATTGTTTCCTTATTAATTCAATAAAATCCGTTCAGTATGGTTAGTCTGTGCGGTATCTATATGATCGAATTTGCGGAATTTGCGAAATTGATGTAATATTTTATAACAACAGGTTTGATTGTACAATATACTTGATTACCATTGAAATATAAAAATTTATCATTATAATAGAAATTTCCGAAAGACATCACTAAGTATAGAAAAGCTCATATACCCGCCCGAAACATCAACCAAATTTATAATAATGCTATTTTAGAATGTGTTGTCTTTTCCATCCAAATTTAGTAACAATTTTCTCAAATCCGCCCCAAATGTCCGAAACTATTAGACTCCTTAATTTGGAAACACTGTGTAGATCAAGCCCGAAATCTAAATTATTATTTTGTGATAAAATTCATGAATAATTTTGGATCAAAACATTTGATAGATCTACAGAAAGGAAGTGCATCATGTTTATCAATATGTATTTTAAATTTACTCAACTTACTCAACGCATTTTTTATAAAGATTAGCTTATAGATTTCATTTAATGAGATTATTTATACCATTTTCTAATGCTGTAATTGTATGTTTCGATCTGGAAATCACATGATGTAATAGGTTAGTTTCAAGTTTTAAAAAATTCTAACAATCATAATTAAGTTTTTATTGTAAAAATAAATGTGAAAAAATTTACTTAAATTTAATTAATATTTACTGTTGAGCATTATTCATAATAAATAATGTTAATATTTCAAATTAAAAAGATGATGTATCATCATGAAATATTTTGAGGCAGTTCTTTAATTGTATTCCTACTATTATCTAATTTTGATAAAAATTAATTAGAAAAAGACTATGTTGATTAATCCAAAAAACAAAATTAAATCATGAATTCCATCTAATCTTAAAGATAAAGGTGGTTAAAAGTTAGATTTTATTGATAAAAGTTATTTGCATTTAAAGAAAATAATAATCTGATATGTTACTTATTTAATATATAATATATAATATTATCTAATAATTTAAATTAAGAATAATCTTACTTAATTACTTAATTCTCCTATTAAATTATAAATAAATGCAAAGCATATAGATTAATATTTTAGAACAAATGATTTTAAATTTTAAAAGAATTTTATCAATTATCATAAATTTAAAATATAATATTTTCTTAAGAAATCTTATATAATAAAAATACTTTAACCTTAAAAGTATTTTGTATAAATAATTTAAATTATATAATTATTTTATCTCTTAATAATTTTTTTTTAATATTAAAAGTATCTGTATCTATAAAGATGGTGCAGTAATTAATTTCAAATTTATAACTTATTGCAACATAAGCTAAAATTAGTTGCAACATATGTTACAATAGTATATAAGTTGTAATATATATAGGTTAAAACTAATTGCAACATATGTTACAACATTAAAAGTTGCAACGTATTAATTACAGTTCTTATCTTTATATATGACAATCAGGATATAAAATAATCTTAATCTAATATTAAAGCTTTTTTATTATTGAAAAGAAAAATAAAATCTTTAATTTATATAATATATACTAAATTTAAAGTATTTGTGAATAAAAATTTTTAATTTTTTTGTTTTTTCAAATAATATATCTGTTACTATCAATACTTTAAATTTAATTACTTTTTTTTAGATAAATAAGTAAAATATTAAATTTTATTATATATTATTTTGATTTTCTTTTGCATTTTTATGTTTCAATAAATAAATTAGTTATTAAATATTGATTTTTTATGATTTAAAATAGTTTATATAAATATAATTAATTAATAATTTCTAATAATATAAAGTTTTTATTTAAATTTTAATTTAAAAGTAAACCTTATATTCTATTATTAAATTTTATATATTATAAAGTATTAGTAAATTATATTTTATAATATTTTATAAATTTTTCTTAAAATAAAAATAGAAAATTAGATTTTCTATTTAAGCAAAATAATATACAAATATTATAGTAGATTATAAAATACCTAAATTTAATATTTATTAAACTTATTTTTATTTTATATATTATTACTCTTAATAATATATATTAGGTAATATTTTAGGAGTGGGTAGTAGATCATAAGTTATATAAAATATATTTTATTATGTAATATTAGTGACTTAACATTTATTAAGTATATTAATAATTATATATATATATGGTATGTAAAGTGTCGATTTGCTTCAGATGTTAACTGACCTAAATTACCAGTCTATTTTTATAATGTCTGGGCAGCATTACTGATGATCATCTTTATCATTTTTATATTTAGTATTCCATTGGCATCTGAGACAAATCAACACTTGAGATACAATATATACATATATTAATCACAATGCATTTCTCTAATTTTGAGTAGTAAATAGTGTTACATATAGCACTGATATTTTTCCAAGTAATTTTTATATGAAATTTTACGTCTTTTTTTACTTCATTGATAAGCAAGCTATGTAATTTTATTATACATTTTAAGATTTTTTTATATGATTATTCGTTGAGTTCGCAACTATTAATTTATTAATTTAAAAACTCAAACACTCTCATTAACTTTTAGTAGATCTTACTTGAAAAACAGATAATTTTGCTTTTAAACTTATAATTATTTCCAAAATATTTTTTTTTGTATTAAAAATAAATATAAACCATTTTTTTTTAAAAAAATAAAGTATTATTGAACAAATAATGTCCTTGAATAAATTTTAGCTTTGTATTAACAAGTTAAAAGTTTGTTACTTATAAAAAAATATATATATATAATAAAATTTATCATTTAAATTAAAAGTTTGAAGTTTTAATAAAAACTCTTAAAGGTATATCTATTAAAAATAATTTTTGCTTAATATATATTTTTTATTTACTTATATATTTTTTTTTATATTTAATTCTAAATATATTATAATATATTGAATTGATTGAATTGATATTAAATGTTACTTTTTTTTACTTGGATTTTTGAAATTCCAATAATTTTTCTTTACTTGAATGATATAGTAGAAAATATTTTAATTAGAATTTCTTTTTTTTTAAATGTAAGAAATAATCAATTCTAATATTATTAAACAAACTTTTTACTTAACTTTAGAAGGTATTCCACTAATCATAAAATATGCCTTCAACAAAAAAAAAAAAAAAAAAAAGTAAAAATCACATGTCATATAGCATCATAATATAAAAAAAGTATGTCAAAATTAAAAGATACCAAATTCTTTTACTAATGAAAAAATTGAATAAATATTAATATTTTTTAAAATAACATTAGAATGTATGAAATAGAAAGAAAATTAATGACTAAAAACTTTTATTAATATAAAAATAATAATTTTATTTTATTGTTTGATGTTTCCAAACTTTTTCAAGAAGTTCTTTGAAGAAGAATGTTGTGAGTTGGGTGACAATCGAGAAACACTTAGATTTATTGCGAGTAATAACATGTATAAAGTTCAACAGCGAGGAAGGAACTCAAAGTCTAATAGTATTAATAGTAAAAAAATTGATTTTTTGAATTTTACATAAAAACTATTTGAAAACTAATCTTTTCCTATAAGAAATTTATATACAGAATTGTATATAGTAAAAAATATATAAAATATATTGAACTTATGTATAATATGTATGTAATTATTACATATACAAAATAAGGAAATTGTCAAAATTACGAATATATAAAATTCGTAAATAACGTATATTGTATAAGCTATTTTATTACATTAAATACGTTTTATCTGTAAATATTATATGTTATTTCAGTACATTAGATATGTTATTTTCAGTACATTAAATATGCTATTTTATAATTTTATATTTATTATATATTATAAAAATATTTATTATTTTATTTATATATAAAATTATTATAAAATAATATAAAAGAAAAATTAATTATAAAAATGTATTTATTCTTTATTAATTTGATATCAAATTTTAAGTATTTAAATTG